AACAGCAGCTACGAAAAACAACTAACGATAAGAAATGTCGTCCTCTGCTTCCATTAAAGAGGAAAATCAGATGATGAACAAGTTGGGCCGACTTTTTTAAAATTTAAATTTAATATTTAACTCCTCCAGAACGGAGTTCATAATGCATTGTATCGCCTTTGATCCCAGCTGTCTAACAGAAATTGGCACCTGGCTGATGTACAGAAACGGAGATCAACACTGCACTATCAACTTCATAAAAATAAGGACGCCAGAAGGGCCCGATCATCAAAGTGAAAGAAGACCGACATTACAACGGTGAAAAATTTTCTTTCCTTTCAAACAGGTCAGAAATTTATGATGTCTGACGATCTGCTGTGCTACATATGTCGCATCATTTTTATTGGTTAGAGCAACATGTATTCAAGCATAGAAAACCGTCACAGAATGCTATACTACACTGTAACAAGAGCCCTAACTTCCGAAATGCAACTAGCGATGAGCAAGGCATCAAGCAAGGGGGAGGCATCTAGGACAGTAAATTCCAGCGCCGTGATAAATAACAAGAAAAGTGGCAGCGATACGCCACAAAACCTGAGATTTTAGAAGTTAAACACCAATTAATAATACATCTATATAATAACATAACTAGGCATACTTTAAATGACACACTAACATTGTATGTGTTATTAAATTCAGTAGTGCCATGTGATCACTGAATGAAAACATACGCAGTCAACAAGTAAAAAAATTTAAGCTGAGAAACTGATTTTACAACTGACAAGATCCATATATTCATAAGTAACAAAATCAAACATGGATACATAAAGATACTGTTATTCTAAATATTCGATTTTTATTATAATCCGCAACCGAAAACTACAAGACATCCAAGCTCACATAAAACAAATCAACCACAGCATCAGGTTTACTACCAAACTGCTAGTTACTGATATCGATGGTAAGACTAACACTCACCTGGCCTAACACAAATTCGGATTTACATGGAGCAGACGCACCGTCACTTTGCTGCTAGCAGCTTAGAGAAATGTTTAAG